CGGACTCTGATCAGAAGTGAGGGGTCCCTCATTCAGGAAGATCCAGTGTTAAATTTCCTTCCCCACCTCATCAGAAATGTTTAGAACCCTATCATAAAAGTTTAGAACCTCATGATAAATATTTAGAACCCTGTCATAAATGTTTAAAACCTTACCATAAATGTTTGGAGCCTACCAATCAAAACCTGCCTGTCCTGCCAGCATTTCCACATGCTAGCCTTTTCTCCCTAACCTCATAAATTTTGCCCCAAATCCTCAGTTGGGGAGGCAGATCTGAGAGCACATGCCCCCGTCTCCCTGCAGACTGATCTCGCAGAATAAAGCTGATTTCTCTCCCAAAAGCTGATGCCGTAATTAATTGGTTTGTTTATGCACATCAGGAAAATGAACCCCAATTTTGTGTGGTGACACTATGGTGTAGCCACAGGTTACAACTGTATATTTTGACATCTTCTTTGAGTTTCAATATTAATTTTTTACTATTTTGTTGGAGTTGTAATCTGAATAGACCCAAATGAAAAAGTAAAATTGTTATTAGATATTTCTTGGTATTACAGCTCTGAGTTATGGACCAATTAACTCTGGATTTGGGGGCATGGACATGGGGGCATCTCCCACTGTGATTAACCTTGAGCTGAGGGTTCTCAGCCTGAATTTACTGTTTATAGTTAAACCTCACCTGTTACCTCAATCAGACTTTTAAAGTTCACACCTGTCATGCAGGGTTTGTTTGCTTGTTTACAACTTAAAATGTCCCTTCTCTCTTCAAAAATCTCTTTTTATGTTTTCCTATTATTAGGAATCATTGATCTGACTTGCTTCTTTAATATCCTGCCTCACTGGGAGGGGCTATTTGGAGGCATCATCTCCTAGGAGATGAAAGACCAGTCTGGCTCAGGTGGCCTCTCTTTGGAAGATCTGATGATGTCATCATGTTGTATAGGGCCGTCCAGTAGAATTTTCTACAATGATGGACACAGCCTACATCCACCCTGTCCAATTTGGTGGTGTCAAAGATAAACAAAGCTGGAGACTAGTTAAAGGCGACAAAGACAGATTTTATTCAGTAATAACTATCGCAATAGGGAAGAGAGCCCAGTATGAACTGAACTCAACTTCCTGAAACAAAAGGCAGGAGACGTTTTAAATGCTGAGGTGTGCTAAAGGAAGGGCCCTGAAGAAAGGGCGTTAAGAGGGGGGTTGGTCTGTGTGATGAGGCCATCTGAGTTTGCTAATTGACGCTTATCTGGAGGAGACACAAACTTCTTGCATTTTTATGACAGGAGGGAGGTAGTGGTGCAAATGGGAGCAAAGTACCCACTGAAGGTGAGCCCTCACCCTCCCACAGGAACTGGGAGTGAGAGCCAAAGTGATCGCCTTGAATGTTCGAGTTTCAAAGAGTCGGTCTTAGGTCCTTGAGAAGACAGTTTTGGGTGGTAGAAGATTTCCATCTCAAAGGCACAGAGAAAGGATCCATGATTGCAAGCTTTCTCAGGCGGGCATTTTAAGGGGGGCTGAGGTCAACCCAGGGCATAAGCTGCTAGCAGCCCTGCTGGAGTTTAGTCAAGGAGAAAGTCTCTGTCAGAAGCCACTGACCACACGTGGCTATTGAACCCTTGAAGTGTGGCTAATGGATGGCAGAACTGAATTTTTAAATTTTAGTGATTTAAGTTTAAATAGTGGCTGATGTCCACTGCATTGGGCAGCACAGTCTTGGAACATGCTACTGACACTTCCTTCTTCTTGGTTATCGTGTGCGGCCCCTGGTGCCAGTTCATTCTTGAACCCCCCTTCCTACCTGTTGATCAAATATGACTTTATAAAGTTAGTCAGTCCTTCTGTTCTTTGTGTAGTTCCTTATTTTCCATGACTATGTGGCCAACTCATATTTCCCTGTGGATTTTATTTCTTTGCATGTGTATTACTTTTATATTTGGGGTGAAGAAATCCATAAATGTTATTTTTTTTAAATTTCTTATTGGGGTAAAATTTACATAACATAAAATTAGCCATTTTGAAGTGTACCATTCGGTGGCATTTAGCACATTCACAATGTTGTGCAACCATCACCTCCACCTAGTTCCAAAGCATTTTCATCACCCCAAAAGGACACCTCCACATTAAGCAGTCACTCCCTAGCCTCTGGCAACCACCAATCTACTTTCTCTCTCTATGGATTTACCTGTTCTGGATAATTTATGTAAAAAGTATCATACAATATGTGACCTTCTGTGTCTGGCTTCATTCACTTAGCATAATGTTTTCAAGGTTCATCCATATTGTAACCGTATCAGTTCTTCATTCCTTTTTATGGATGAATAATATTCCATTGTATAGGTAGACCACATTTTGTTGTTCCTCTCATCTGTTGATGGACTCTTGGGGTGTTCTCACCTTTTAGCGATTGTGAATAGTGCTGCTATGAAGGTTGGTGTACAAGTTTTTGTTTGAATCCCTGTTTTCAATTCTTTTGGGTTTCTACCTAGGAGTGGAATTGCTGGGTTGTATGGCAATTCTGTGTTTAACTTTTGAGGAACGCATTTTTTTTTTCCGAAGGCAGAAGTGCAGACAGAGATCCCAGGACTCCAGAGTCCGTGCCTCCCGCCACCCAGGTACCCCGGCTGGGATAGTGTCAGCACATAGCCCCCTTGGGGCCTGGCCAGCAACTCGGGACAGGACGTGCTCAGTGACGAGGCAGAGAGACAGGAAGAAAGGGGCCTTGGAGTGCGAGGTGAGGCCCAGGTGAGGGGCAGGTTGAGGAGGGAAAGGGAGAGACAAAGGGCCGGATAGGGACCTGTTAGAGGAGGCAGGAGCCGTGGAATGAGCTTCGGGGCCTCGGGAGAGCCCTGCTGGCTGAGCCACACCAAAGTCTCCCCTGTTCCTATGGTGAGGCTGTTCCGGGACCTGCTACCTGCTGAGTTCTGGCTGCAGATGTGAGGGGATCCTGCTCACAGAGGCTGCCCTTGGCTGCCAGCCTGAGGCCCAGGCCCAGGCGACTGTGGGTCCAACAGGTGGCCCTGGGGTTGTGGTGACAAAGACGAACCTCTTAGCAGAGTGTCCTGGCAATTCATCAGAGCCTTACACTCAGAGGAGGAGGAATTTGTCATCATTCACTCACTCATTCATTCATTCATTCATCCATTTAATATGCAGCTGCTCCATGGTGTGCACTGGCCCAGAGCTGGAGGCTGTCAGAGGAAAACTCTGGTTGGGGAATGTTAGGAGCTCCTGTGTCAACCGCCAACTCCTCAGCTACATACAAGGGCTCTTCAGGTCAGGGACCCACCCAGCTCCAGGCCAAGGGTCCATTTTGTGCTCTCAGGCGGAGTCCCAGGCCACCCGCCCTCTCTGTTCCCAAGCGACACTGGCAGCTTCTGATGTGGCTGCAGAGTGAGGTTGTCTTGCAGGCCTGGGGTGAGTGGGCCCCAAAGGCCTGACCAGGGTGGCAGGGAGGAAAGTGCCCTGAGCCAGATGTTGACTGCACAAGGGGCTGCTTGCCTGCTGCAGGAATTGATGCTGCCGTGGCTGAGGCTGCGCTGACCCTCAGAATGGGGGATGTCCTGAGAGCTGGAGACAGTTTACAGGCCCAGTGCCCAACGCCCAGGGCCCGAGTGGGCGGCTGCAGTCTGTGTTATCTCTCCATGATGTTTATTGAACTGGGGTGGATACAAAACCATTTAATACAGATGACTGTCACAGGTGTGGGGAGGCACTCACCTCTCCGAGGAAAGAGTCCATGGAAAGACATGTAAGTTCACAAGCTAATGGCAGTGGATGCCAATGGCCTCTGAACTGGCATAGGCAGGACAAAGACCACAGAGAACAGAAGACACACGCTCTGGATCTGGCCCAGGGGTCCCTGCAGGGTGGGATGGGAGGGGCGACTCTTGCATGGCCTGGGGAGAGCTGGTGCTCTGAGTTATCGGCTAAATTAAGAGAAGAAAGTCCAGAAACAGGGCAACGGGGGAAGGTCAAATTAGGGGACAGATGTAAGGAAGTTGCTGAGGCAAGAGATCGGGGCAGGGGTGGCCCATGCTGAGAGTGGGGCCAGCAGCCAGCTGGGAGGAGCAGGTGGGGAACATCGGACCCAGAGTTCATCTGGAGATCAGAGCTGGGGGAGCTTTCAGAGGGGTCTGTGGGGCAGCCAGGGGGAGCACAGCAGGTGAGACAAAGCTGCCTGGGTGAGCTTTGTGGGTCTGGTGCAGCTGGCTCTCTGGTGGGCTCCAAGATGGTTATCAGCTCCCAATAGCGACTGCCTTTCCCTGCAGACTTGCTGTGTGCCTCATTTATCCTTACAGCAATCACTCTATGAAGCAGGCACCGTTATCTTCCCCATTTGCCAGAAAGGAAATGGAGGTTCAGAGAGATCTGATCAGGGTCACACAGTAAGTTCCAGAAACAGGACTTTAACTTGGGTCTGTCTCATCTCACAGATTATGCCCTGTTCACGAAAGATGCTCAACATCACTAGAAATTAGGAAAATGTAAATTAAAACCACAAAGGGATATGACCACATACCTGTTAGAACGGCTAACATCCAAATAACGGGATACCAAGGCAAGGATGTAGAGAGAGTGGGCCGCTCATGCACTGCTGTGGGAATGCAAAATGGCACACCCCCTCTCTGCAAAACAGTTTGGCGGTTTCCAACAATGTTAAACATACCCTTCCCATATGGCTCAGCAGCAATCCCACTCCTGGGTACCTACCCTGGAGAAATGAAAACAGGATCACACAAAAACCTGTACATGAATGCTTATAGTTGTTTTGTTCGTAATTGCCCCAAACTGGAAACAACACAACTAGCCTTCAACTGGGGAACACATAAACACAGTGTGGTACAGCCATACCATAGAATACTACTCAGCCGCAAAAGACAACCAACCACTGACACATGTAACAACACGGGTGACTCTCAGAGGCACTATGCCGAGTGAAGAAAGCCAGATCCAAAAGGCTATATACTGTCCAATTCCATTCATATGGTGTTCTGGAAAAGTCAAAACTGTAGGGACAGAGAACAGATCAGCAGAGGTCAGGGCTAGGGGTGGGGGAGGGCATGACGGCAAAGGGGCAGCAGGAGGGATTTGGGGAACGATAGAGCTGCTCTGTGCCTTGATTGTGGTGGTGGTGACAGGAGCGTTTGTCGGAGCTCCCAGAATTGTACAGTAAAAAGGGAGACTCTCACTGGCGTAAATTATAGGCCAAGTGCGTGCCCTAACTCTGATTCTGTCTGCTGGAGGGAAACTTTGGACAACAAGGAGAAAGGTGTGCCTTCTAGGAGGGGGACAACTTGAGCAAAGATAGAGGGTTGAGGCAGGGCAGGGTAAGCCTGGAGTGTAGGCTTTGAGCAGGAGGGACACGGGGAGAGGAGGCGGGTGGGGCCAGCTGTGGACACCACCATTATCTGGCCAATAGCTCTGGCCTTCAGCCTCTTCCCAAGGAGACTGTGGCGAAGGCAGATGTTAGAAGTGGATGAGGTGGTGGGTGGGATGGGGCAGATCATGGGGCCAAGGGAGCAGAGCCAAGGAGACCCCTCTGTCCTCGCCTTGGCTCCATGGTGCCCTCCCTCCCCCACTGGGCTGCAGCTCATGTGGCATTTCTCCAACTACTTTCGTCAGCTCCTTGGCGCCATCTGTGCAGGAGAACATGGCGGAATCATGGGGGATGATGGGAACCAGCTGATGGATTTTGGAATCCATTCAGTAAACTTGCTATCAACATTCTGGAGTAGATGTTGAGTAGAGGTGGGTGGTGAGCCCTTAAAAATGAAGGTAGTAGCCCTGGGAGCCAGTGTGGTGTCACCAAGAGCAAGACCTGCTGAATGCAAAAGGGGAAGAAGTTTGGCAGTCAGCTGGGGCTACCGCATTGCAAGCAAGCTGGGGCAATGCGTGTGAACGGTGGGATGCTTAGGCAGAATCTCTGCTGACAGCACAGCCAGACCCAGGGGCCTGACTGCAGGGCAACGTCATCCTAGTGGGGCTGTGGGGCCCGATGCCAGCTCAGTGCAAGGCTGGGTCTGAAATCGTCATCAGGATCTTGGATGGAGACCTGAGGGTGAACAAATTCTCAGATGCCCTAACACTGTGAAGGAAAGTGTGTGTGGAAGACAGAATAGAGAGTCAAATGCTCTTCTGGTTGTGAGGTTGAATTTCAACTCAGAATAGCAATCGCGCAGCTGCTCGCTGTGTCACTGTATGAGCCTTGACTTCTATTTTCTGTATTCTGACACTTTGACGTGGGGCCGTGCTGACCCTGGAGGGACGGCCCCTCCTAGGCGTAGCCGATTCCTAGAGATGGAAAACGACTCGCCCAGGAGTGTTTTTTCAAATGCAAACCAGCTAATCCAGAACCCACACCCCAACCACCTCGTGTATTAGGCTCTCATACTCTGGGCCACTATCCGCTTGCCCCATTCCCCCAGGGCCAGCTACCAGACCACTAGGGGCAGCCCAAATGCCCCAGAGCCCCCTGAAATTATTTAAACTAGCCCATCCTAAGCCTGCGTGCCCTGCCTCACCCGTTCCTTCCTGTGGAAACCATAATAAAGGCTCTTGCCCACAGTCCTCCCTCTCCCTCCACCTCATGACCAGTCCTGGTGCTTCCCCGTGTGGCCCCCTCCTCTTGGGAACGGTGAGTAATAAATTATCTCTTCAATGGAAATCATTTCCTGATCTGTTGGTCTTACTGTAACTCAGGTTTTCTGTTACTACAATATATTTTAGAACAGTAACTCATGACTTGATATTGGTTCATAGAAAATGGCCTAGAGTTTTTGCTGAGCTTGAGGTCACAGGAGGTAATAATGGGGATTGAGTGTTTCTGTTGTTTTGCTGTGGCCGTGTGGCCACCACTGGGACACTGTCCCAGCAGTTCCTAAGGTGCAGAACCACTATGACTGAGGGCCTGGGACCGGGTGTTGTAGGATCCCTGTCCCTGGGGAGGTTGGAGGGGGTCTGGCCAGGAAGGCTGTGAACTTATTGTGGACCCAAAGAGCAAAGAGGAGGGTCTGGGAGTCGCAAAGCTCGCCTCAGATTTCTCCACCTTCTCCACGAAGTTTTGGTCTGGGAGCAGCACCTCCGTAGTGTAGCTGATGTGTTTGGAATGAACCAGGCTATAGGTGTTGTTGAACATCAGAACATCTGCATTGATGGACTGACATTCACACAGGATGCCCCACCTGGGACCCTGGCTCCATGGTGGTAAATCCCTGTGCAGGTACCCAGACCAGGGTGCCGTTGCCGCCCCTGAGAGCCCAGACCCAGCCACACACCGTGCCTAGCAGAGCCAGAGGACCCCACCTGGTGGGACCCGGATGCATGTCAAGGTACCTGCCCCCTGCCCCCTGGCTTCAGGTGGCGCCGTTCTCTGCCAATGCTTATAGAAGCCGGCCTTGAGGCAGGTGAGGCTCCCGTCCTGGGGCACCTGGTGGGCGTTGTAGCGCCGGGTGGGCAGCACCTCGGTCATCTCCCCTGCCCGCTGCCGCTCTCCCCTCTTGGTCTTCAGAAAAACCCCGGAGCCGATGTCAGCCCCACCTGATGCGAACTGCCACCTCAGGGGACAGGACCTCGGTCTCCACCCGCAGGAAGGAGTCGTGGGCCACGGTGGCCGTGTGCTCGTACTGCGGCCTCACCTGGTTGTGCAGGTGGTAGCTCTTGGGCACCTCGCCCCCGTGGTTGATCTGTGGGTGAGGCCGGGTGAGCAAGCACCAGACCACGGCCATCTCGCCTTCCTCCCCACCCCTGGGCACCTTGTACCTTGCTTGGGCACTTGGGGTTGCCATCGGGGTCAGTCATGGTCCCCCCAAACTCCACGGGCAGCTGGTCGGGGCTGATGAACTTTGTCAGCTCCTGCTTCCAGTTGCCTGTGGAAGCAAGAAGGGCTCCACGGGGGCTCAGGGAGGCTCGGCAGAGGGGCCAAGCCCAGGGCTGTCCTGTGGCCTGCGGTTCGTCCTTTCTGGGCTGCTCGTGGTGCCCCCAGGGAGGGAAGCCAGGTGGCTCTAGGTCTAGGCCTGGGACTCAGCATATGTTCCTGTGTTGACCAGTTCCTGCCCTCAGGGCTGTGCCTCCAGGCCCAGTACCCTGCCCCCGTCTGTCCAGGTGTTGGCCATCAGCCATCTTTGTAGGGACTCAGACCACCACCTCCTGGAGACTGAGGCTGAAGACAGGCTGACTCTGACCTGGGCTTCCCTTTCCCTTGGAGACCAACCTCAGCCTTCTAGTCAGCCCCTGCCCTCAGCTCCTACAGCTCCAACACCCTCAGAATTGGGGGCAAGCTTGTGTCAGTTCCCCCACAAGCTGCTCTGAGATAGCTAAGGGTGGTCCACACACAAAGGGACATTGTGGAACAAAGTAGAAGAAAGCAGAGGTGAACGTCCAACATACCTTAGGATAGGGTATGTTAAGCATAAAAGCAATGGAGAAATCAAAGGAAAAGCCCCCAAATGTGACAACGTAACGCTAAGTCAAAAGTCAAAGACAACAGGCAAACTACAAACTGAGGAAAATGTTTGCCACAAATATGACAGGAAAGGTCAATGTGCTTAATATGTAAAGAGCACTTATAAATCAATAAGAAAAATACTTTTCTAGAAAATGGGCAAGAGATACCAGGAGGCAGTAAACGAACAAAAAATTAAAATAGCCCATTAGCATTAAAAAATTCTAACCTCACCAGTGATAAAAGAAATCCAGTGTAAAACAATAATAAATATCATTTTCCATTAAAAAAATGCAAGAGTCTTTTAAGTTATTAATGCCCAATGCTGGCAAGAGCGTGGGGAAAAGGGCACATTCATACACAGCTGATGAAGTTAAATTCTGATCTATGTGGAGCATTACACTGTGAAAGGTATCAGAAGTCCTAACACATGCATTCTCCTTTGGGAAAAAAGCTTCCATTTCTAGGATTTTATTCTAAGGAAAAAATTGGGGATATGTACAAGGATTTATCTATAAGGATCTTCACTACTGACTTTTTCCTAATGGTAAAAACATTACAAACAACCTAAATTTAGAACTTTACCAAAGTGAGAAAATGTTTATCACATAATAAGTGAATAAGGTAGGTTTCAAAAAGGCATATATATATGGTATAAACCCATTTTTATTTGTTTTTTAGTGTATTTCTCTGCAGAGACAGTAAATGTTAACAGTAGTTCTCTGGGTGACAGGATTTCCTCCTGCTTATACATGTCTATATTTTCCAAATTTCCAAACTGTATCAGTTGTACAATTTGGAAAATCTGGATCTTATTCTTCCCATTTTACAGATGAAGGAACTGAGACCCAGGGCAATTGGCTCAGCCCACAGGTGGCTAATAATTGGCAAAGCCAACCCTCTTGAAAGCCATGGGGAACATCTTGGGGGCTGAAACAGGCTCAGAGCTGCTGAGGGAGCAGGGTCTCCTGGGGTCAGAGATCCCACCCTGTCACCTCCACATCCCCACGTACACATCCTGGGCTGGTTCCCTCACCTCTCACAATTAAATTCGCAAAATCTCAGAGGAATTTGCCCTGAGTGCTGTGAGAAACTATGCAGCCAAGCTCAGGTCAATGCACGAGCTACAGGTGTCTAAATACTGCCCCCTGTGCCCCCTCCTTCCTCACCCTCAAGGCCCCCAGGCGCAGAACCCTGGCCTCTGCTGCCAGCCATCCAAGACATCGATGCAGGAGGCACCCCAGACACCCAGAGCCCATCCAGGTGAAAGCAGCCGCCATCTTCCAGTTTGCTGAGTCCTGGTCACAGATCTTCCTTGAAGCAACTAGTGCAGATTCTTGGTGCAGGAGGATGACCTCACCCACTGCAGGTCAGAAAAATCCCATTCAGGACTCTGGAAGTTTCCCCTCCAAGTGGCTTAGACAATAGTTCAACTTCAGGAATGAGGCCAACTTTCTTTTAGCAAAATAAAGATTTGATGTTGCACAGTGTGGCTTTTTTAAAAAATTGAGATATAGTTTATATAGCATAAATTTCACCTTTTCAAAGTGTAGAGTTGAGTGGTTTTCAGGATGTTCACAAAGTTGTGCAACCATCACCACTATCTAGTTCCAGAACACTTTCATCACCCCAAAAGGAAACCCTGTACCCATTAGCTGTCATTCCCCGACCCCTCCCCCTCCAGCCCCTGGCAACCACGAATCTGCTTTCTGTCACTGCAGATTTGCTTATTCTGGACATCTCAGGTCAATGGAATCGCACCATATGAGGCCTTTTGTGTCCAGTTTCTTTAATTTAGTATGATGTTTTTGTGGCCGTTCTTAAATTTTTTTAATTTTTAGGTTCTTTGCTATCTTAGGTTGAGCATAAAGAAAGGAAAAGGTAGGCTGGCTGCCCCTGGGGCCCAGGACTTGTCAGGGCCTCCCTCCCCTCCTCAGAGCCCCAGAGCTGACTTGCTCCCAGCCCCCTCACAGAGGAAACAGGAAGGGGGGGAGGGGCTTGAGGCCAAGGGCAGGTACCGAGGGGGAGGGGAGGATCAGAGGGCAGGTTGGAGATGGGCAGTATGAGAGGGGAGGGACATCCACAGGGACCCTGCAGGCCTGGGAACAAGGTCCTGTTGTGACCCGCTGGGCATGGGATGGTGACATCGGGGTGCCAAGTCCAACTTGGCACAGCCCTGAGAGACTGTGGGTTTGAAAACATCCCTGCAAACGGGAAGTAGGGAGCTGCAAACAGGGCCTGGGGGTGAGGAGAGAGGACCCCACCCCCACCCCACATCAACAAGTGAGGGGCAGAGGCCCTGGTGTGTGGACCACCCTGCGCCTCCTGGTGGGGTTACCTCACCTCCTGGGCAAACTCCACTCCTGGCTTCCACAGGTGCCTCAGGCTCAGCCCCTCAAAGTCAAAAACGGCCGTGATTTTCTCCACCTTCTTCCCCAGCTGCAAGGGACGGAGGTGAGACCCCATGAGGGTCAGTGTCCCCCACACCCCACCCCAGGGCACTGACCTGGCTTATCCCAGCTCTGCCTGGCATGGAGGTTTCATGCCAGGAAGCCAGGTGCCAGAAGGTGCCATCCCAAGGGGCGCCCTTCCCGTGTCTGTCTTCAGGAGGGCAAGTCGCTGTGCCTCAGTTTCCTCCTCTGTGCAGTGGGGCTGAAATACCTGACTCCCCCCATGAAGTGAGGCCATAGAGGGCAGCGTGGCCCAGTGGGTTGAGCAAGGCTTCGGGTTGAGCAGGGCCAGTCAAGGGGGGAGTGTGTCGGGGTAACGGCCTCTCTGAGCCTGCGTTCACTCCACCGGGCTACAAGGAGCAAAGGAGCTCAGGGAGGCGGTTCCGGGTGTGATGCTCAGGGGAGTGCCTAGCGCCAGAGGGCAGCTTGGAGGGTGCTGGGCTGCGGCTGCCCAGGGTGGAGGGCTGGGAGGGGCCCCGGGTACCCTCACCTCCTGGCTCTCCTGCTCATACTCCCGCAGAAGCAGCTTGCAGCTCCAGAACTTGTCCCTGAGCAGCTCCTGTCTGGAGATGGAGAGAAGGAAGCCCTTGAGGGCCAGGCCTGTGATAACGTGGTACCAGACAGGGCTGCCCTCAGATGCCATTGGTGGTTTACAGCCTGACCACCTGAATGCACAAGGGAGAGGGGCTGGGGAGCAGGGGCGGGTTTGAGGGGGGAGCCAGGGTCCCAAAGGAGGGGCCAGTGGGGACCAAGGGGCTCACCTCTGGGGGCTGCCATGCAAGGGTGTTGTCCAGGTCCTATTGCTTTCAAAACTCCACGTGCTGCAGAGACAGCAGGAGCTGAAGACCCCGCCTGAGCCAAAGGCCTCTGCAGGGACCTGGGGACACCAGGCCAGGCCCCTCTGCCCACAACCACTGAGGGCGTGCCAGAGCATCCCGGGCTCCGCTGACATAGAACTGGGGTTGGGGACAGGAGGGGGATGGAGGGAGACATGGGTCTGACATGGATGAGGAGAGAGAGACTCAGAAAGGGACAGGTAAGGGCTGCACTCAACCTAAATGTCCACCCTCATGGGCTGGTTAAATAAACACTGGCCCCTCCATGCCATGAAATGCTACGTAACCATTAAAAAAGCCAGATGGATTAAAACATCCTCAAATAGACAGATCTCCAAGACACACATATTCTCTACTGAAAAGAGTGAGTTGCAGAATAATACTTATAGTATATTATCATGTATTCTAGGTGTTTCTATTTTATTGTATTGTTTATATTATATATAATATATAATATTTTATATATATATTTCTGCATGTATACATGGAAATGCATTGAGAAAAGTCTGCATGATACACACAAACTGGTGACAATGGTTATTTTGGGGGCTCAGGCTTCAATGTTATTAGTTAAGTTTGGATTTTTTACAATGAGAATATGTTCAGATGTTCCTTGTATAATTAAACTTTTTAAAAAATAACATATCAATAGAGCTCTTCACCACTGCCAGCCACTCTTCAGTCCTCAGATCTATAATTCAACTGGTCCATGGAGCAGATGGGACCAGCTGTGTCCAACTGAGAAAGGGCTGCCAGAGGAGGGCATTTAAATCAACCACATAGAGTCACCCCTCTGGAATATTCCACAGCCTTCCAACTACACTAGAGAAGAAGAAATTTTTTAATGACGTGGAGAAATGGTCCTGAAATTATCACTGAACAAAACAGTATATAGCGTATATGCTTGATTACATTAAAAAATTATATGTAAAGTTCCCTCGTGGTGGTGGTGGGATTACAGGGGATCTGTGTCACTCTTTGTGCTTTGCTTTTTCTATACTTTCCAGATACTTTATGATAGATGTGCCCTGATATTATCATCAGAAACACCCACTGGATGTTATCAATGAACTGGACTCAGGTCCTACTGAGCTGTCCCTGCAGGCTGTTAACACAGTCCTTTGCTCCAAGGCCGGCCCCGGCTGCCCGGGCGTTCCCTGGCTCTCCCAGAGCCGGCAGTGTTCCTCTTGGCTCACCCCTGAACTACTTCAGCAGCACTTCTGCTAAGTGCCCCTGGCTAGTGAGAACTGAGCGGTTTCCTTTGATCCCCAAGACTGGTCCCCACTGACTTCATTTGGGCTCAGGACAACCCGGAAAGGTCGATGGGGGAGAGAGTCTAGTGCCCCATAAACAGATGAGAAAACTGAGGCCCAAGAGTCAGGGGTCACCTGCCCTGGGTTCCATCCAGCTAGTAAGAGGCACAGGTGGGGTTAGACCCAGGTCTCTGGGACCCCGGTCGGATTCTTTTCTGATTTGATGGTAGTTTGAAGGGCATTATGTGTGGAGGGAAGTGCCTGAGCGAAGACTTTGAGCTGGGAAAGTGTTACAACGTATAAACTACACACCATGCTCAGAGGCAACTTGCCCTCACAGGTTTACAAAGGCTGTTGCTTGCATATGAAGTATTCTGGGCTTTCTGTACATTCAGGGAAGTACACTCTTGTGTACTCTGCAGTAGGTGGGGTAGGTGTATAATCAACATGGTTTTATAGTGGTTTCCTCACGGCAGCCAAAATCAATTCCAGCCTTAGCCTGTCAGGAAGGAGTCTGAGTGTGGGAATTCCAGCCACATTCTCAGGGACACGGAGAAAGGGTCTCCTGTCTGTGCACTCAAATTCTGTGATTCCAACATTTATTGTAAGAGCAACCCTCTTCCCTATCCTTGTCCCCAAACTCTGTCTGAAAAGATGTTAAACAATTGGCCTCTAATGTCAGACTAACCGGGCTTTGCCACTTGTTCGCTGAGCGACTTCAGTCAAGTGGTTTAACCTCTCTGAGCCACAGTTTGCTCCAATACAAAATGGGGCTGATAATAGGACCTACCTCACTGGATTGTTGTTCAAAAAAAAAGAGAGACAATAATAAACAAAAATTGCTTTACTCAGTCCCGGCACAGAATAAGTGCTCAAAAGATAGTAGTAATTATTGTTACTCCTTGTGGTAGCCACCTCCAAGATGCCTCCAAGATCCTCACCTCCTGGTATTCACACCCTCACTTAGTCCCCTCAACACTGAGCAGGGCTGACCTGTGTAACCAATAGGATGTTGCGGAAATGATGGGATATGACTTACGAGGCTTGGTCATAAAGACATTGCCACTTCCTCCTTGCTCTCTTGGACCACTTGCTCTGGGGAAGCCAGCCGCCGTGTTGCAAGGACGCTCAAGCCATCCTCTAGAAAGGTCCCTGAGGAGGAACTGAGACCTCCTGCCGACAGCCAGCACTGGCTTGCCAGACAGATCAGACATCTGGGGAGCAGACCCTCCAGCCCCAGTCAAGCCTTCAGATGAGTGCAGCCCTGGCTGATGTCTTGACTGTAACCTCATGAGAGACCCTGAGCCAGAACCAGCCAGCTAAGCCATGCCATAATTCCTGACCACAGAAACTGGGAGATAATAAATGTTTATGGTTGCTTTATATGGTTATGTTTTGGAATAATTTGTTACACAGCAGTAGATACCTAACACACTCCTCTTTTTTGCCCTTGCCCTTCATCTCACTCTGCCCTCTATCCTCACTTTGGGGCCAGTGTAGGAGGAAGTAGTCATTGGGGCTGGGCAGGACAGATAGGACATCTTGGATGTTCTCCCAGAACTAAGGACAGAACTAGTGCCCCTGCCATCAGGGGATTGGCCAGCCACCCTCGGGCCTGAAGATCTCGCCTGCCCTTAGGAAAGGGGTTGTCTGAGTAGAGAGGGCCCCCCAGTGCTGAGGAAGCTGGGGCCTGGGTCAAGTCGTGGCAGTTCCCTTTCTCCCTCTGGGAAATGGGACAATAATGAGACAGCTGTCAAATCTTCAGAGAGGATGAAATGTGGAGTAAATGAGGAGAAGTTTTATGAGCCTGATTCTTCCCTCAGGCCTGTGGGGGCGTGGAGGGGCTTTCTTCAGAACCTTGATATCCATCCTCAGGGAGCCTCCAGGCCAGTTCAGGTGGGAGAGTAAGCGACATGGAGTCTGAGGCTCAGAGAGGTTAAGCAATTTGCCCAGCATCACACAGTCAGCAAGTGGCAGAGCTGGGAGGCAAATTACACATGTGGTCCAGAGCCCATCGTCCAGGCCCGAGTGAGGGGTGGCTTGGCCCAGTCTTGGGGAGCATCCTCCACAGACAGGCCCCAGGAGCTGATCGGGGCAATTCAGCTGGCTTCCGGCCCACCCTGGAGGGACTGAGGGCTGAGGGTGCCGCTTCTGCGTGGATGTCACTGACTGTGGACCAAAACCAGACTTCAATACTGATGAATCTAGTAGAGGAAAGAGCACTGGACAAGGAGTCAGCAGTCCCAGTATGGCCTTGCATGAGTCACTTCCCCTCTCTGTATGTCTCTCAGTCTCCTCAGCCTCCAAACAGGGGCTCCAAGGACTGGCTCAGGTTCCGCCCAAAACAAGCTGATAACTTTTGTCCTTAGGAACAAGAGAGAGTGTTTGACTCTGGGCTAACCATTAACTCAGTCCTGACACGATATTGCTGTTATACCCATTCCCCAGGTGAGGAAACTGAGGCTTAAACTGGTGACGTGACTTGCTCAGCTGACATCTGAACCCAATTCTTGACCCCAGTCGTCTTGTAAGAGGACTTACTCCTGGCCTGGGTGGAATATGCAGAACCCTTTGATGGCAGGAATCGGGGCCTCCATTGGGGGCTTCCATGCTCATAGAAATGGGTGAATCTCCCTGGAGCCCACACTTGCCGTGTGCAATCACGAGGGAAAGACCCTTAGGACCCCATAAGGCACTCGCCACAGGCTGGAGAGGAAAACCCAGGCCTGCCCCTTTCTCCCCTGGATGAGGACGTGGTCTGCTACGCCACCCTCCCCCACTGGGCCAGCAGCCCTCACCTGCGCTGTCCAACATGGTAGCCACTAGTGCTTGAAACGTGGCTAGTCCAAATTGAGATCTGCTGTGAGTACGAAATACACACAGGATTCCAAGGACTTAATACAAAAAAAAATCTCAGTAATAATTTTTATATTGATTACATGTTAAAATGATAATACTTTGGCTATATCAGGTTAAATAAAATATATTATTAAATTTGGTTTCCCTTGTTTCTTTTTAGCTTTTTTTTTTGTGTGTGTGAGGAAGATTAGCCCTGAGCTAACATCTGTTGTCAATCCTCCTCTTTTTTCTGAGGAAGACTGGCCCTGGGCTAACATCCGTGCCCATCTTACTCTACTTTACATGGGACGCCTGCCACAGCATGGCTTGATAAGCGGTGCTTCGGTGCGCGCCTGGGATCCAAACCTGCGAACCCCGGGCTGCTGAAGTGGAGCGAGAGAACTTACCACTACGCCACCAGGCCGGCCCCTCTTTTCACTTTTTTAAGGTGGCTACTAGAAAATTTGAAATTTTCCTACGTATGTGGCTTGCATTTGTGGTTTGTGTTATATTTCCATTGTGTAGCACTTGTGTAGCCTCGGGGCCACTAAGACCCTCAGAGTCAGGAAAAGACTCAGAGCTGCAGAGCTCCGAGGGACCTCAGTGTCCTTGGGTGCTGCCTCTCTGGGGCAGAAGGAGAAACTGAGGCCAGTGTAGGGTTCTCTCCCTCGGCTCACCTGGGCCAACGTCTTCTCCTGCGATGGGCTCAGGTCACCCGCTTGTCCGCTCGTGCTGCCCATGGTGGTAGGGGTAAGGTCCAACTTGCTGTTCCTGGTCCAGGCCCAGCTCTGTGGCTCCTTCCAGGCTGCCTGCCTTTAGCCCAGCTGGCAGCTGCTCCCACCCCCACCTCTGCCCAGAAGCCCCACCCCCTCCTCCTCAGGGTGAGTGGTGGGGCCCATTCCTTGCTAGGTGCCTGAGGCACTGGCCTCTGGACTGACTATCCTGGGTTCAAATCCTCATTTGTAAACTGAGGACAGTGATGCTTGCCCCACAGCGTTGAAAGTGTTGTTGAAAGTGACACCACATGTTGTCACACACACATGCACGCACACGCCTGCACGGGGCTGTTCTCCACCCTGTCTCTCAGTCCTCCACCCTCTACTCCATCAGATGCCTCCTGGAGCCAGGCAGGCCACCACTCACCCCTAACAGAGGCCTGGAACCCACTGTCATCGTGTCCCAACATGTCCAGGCTCCATCTGCCACCCGATGTGTCTGGAGCAACCGCCCATGATTCATCCCAGCCGTTAGGGCACGTGGCTTCGGGGTGAGGAGAGACTTCCCAGGGCCAGACCCAGCAGGTGGATGGCACCCCTGAGGGCCACACCTGGCCCGTGGGTAGGAGTGATGGGGGACTCCTGGCTACAGTCTACCCCACCTCCCGTCCCCTGGATAAGCAGCAAGGCAGAGGCCAAGACAAGGACACGTGAGATCATGCTGTGCGCACGGGCCTGGCGCACAGCAGGCACTTGTCTTAGCCTCGTTCACCCAGAGGCAGGCTCTGGTCCCAAGACTCCAGGGCAAGGAGTTTATGCTGGAGGTGATCCTGGGAAACACAAGCAGGGGAGTGGGGATGTGAGGCAGAGGATGGGAGGCAACTGTTCAGGGAGGGTAATCAAGGAAGAAAAGAAGGGCTCCATTCCAGCGGGACTAATGGGAGACAGTGTGGAACACGCACCTCAGGGTCCCCGACTGCACGGTGAGGGAGCTGGGGTATTTATACACCAGCTCTGCACAGTCTTTGGTTGAGGGCTGCTCCAAATTCTGCTGGCTCTCTGGCCTGCTGTTCACCGCTCTGGAGGCTGGAGGAAGGCCTCAGGCAGAGCAAGGCAGGTGCTGCAGCTGGGAAGTGGTGAGGTCGAGGGCATACAGGCAGGGCACCAGTAGTTTCAGCTGGGTTCTAGGCCAAAGGCATCACGTGCTCTGTGAGCTGCAGACTGTTCCTTTCCCATCTGACAGAGCCTGGAAGAGGCGAGTGGAGTTCCCGAGGCCGTGCAGCAGCTGAGTGACTATCAGGCCTGTCTGAACCCAGCGCTGACTCAGGACACTGTAACCCATGTGCCCGGCACCAGGCAGAGCACACACCTGAGTGGCCTCCCTGAGCCCCGTGATGGTCCCTCCTTGGCCTTGCACGGGGTTAACTGGAGTGGATCTGCCTCTCCTGTAGGACGGGGCCTCCCCAGCTCCCCACAGACCCACAGGCTACAGCTGTAGCCACAAGGGGCACACGCAGGCCATCCTCTCCCGCTCCTTTCCTAGCCCAAGCCCCTGACCCCTCCCCCTGGTTCCCCACCCCCAGCACCTCTGGCCCATCTTCTTGAGGTCCACCTCTGAGTACCTCCTGCCCTGCTCCAAAGCCTCCCATGGCTCCTTGCTGCCCTCGGAGAAACTGCAGACCCCTTAGCCTGGAGCGCAAGGCCCTGGGGTCCTTCCTGAGCTGATTTCCCCTGCTCTCCTCCTTATTCCAGGCCCCTTGCCTCTCCACCGTTCCCTGTCCTGCTTTTCCTTTTGCTGTTCCCTCTCTCTCGAATGCCCTTCCCTGCAACACCCTGCATCCAATCCCTGTCTCCCTCAGGCCTACTTCAAATGCCTCCTCTTCTGCAAGGTCCTTCCTGATTTGTCTTATTTGCTGGCAAGTGAGTCTCCCCTTCCTGAAATCCTACACCCCACTGTCAGCTTCTATCTGCCCAGCTATTTTAGCGGGGACCCCCTTGGGCTTCTTGAGGGCCTGGTTCATCTTTGTACATTGCCACCCCAGCACCCACTGTTGCGCATAGTACACAGCAGGTGCTCAATAAGAGTTTACCAAAGACGTGATGGCAAGGGGAGCTGGGAAGGGCCACCTCTCCTTTTTCAGTTTCTCTGCCGCTCTCTGGTGCCCCTGGGTTGTTCTCAGCCTGCCGGGGCCTGTCCACTCTCCAGAATGGCCTCTACCCAGCCCTGTCAAAAATCCCTGAGCTGTGTCCCCCCAGCGTCACACGAGCTCTCACCTAATGCACTCATTCATGCACTCGTGTGCGTCGGCTAATGTATTACCCCTCCCGGGGGTACGGGGCCCTGGCCACGTAGGCAAGTGTGCTCTGAAGGCCTTCAGTGGGGGACTGTCTCTCTCTCTCCTGCCCTGTTTTCACTCTCCCTTTTCTGCTGCCTCCCTCCCTCCTCCCTCCCTCCCTTCCTTCTTTCTTCTCTTCCTTCCTTCTTTTCTCTCTCCCTGTTTCATTTCTTTCTTTCCACTGTCTTTCAACATTTATTAAGAACCGACTGTGTGCCAGGCACTATCCTGGGCACTAGAGGCCGATTGTGTCAATAAGACTCACTCTCCATCCTGGAGGAGCCCACCATCAGGGCCTCGCAGACAAGCAAATCCACAGTTTGGGCCCTGGGTGAGCACCGCTGAGATGGGGGAGCCCGGAGGCCCTAAACTAGCCCAGGCTGTCGGGGAAGGATGCCCAGAGGATGCGGCAGAGCTTGCCTTGAAAACATGTGGCAATGTTAGGCCTGCAAAGGGAACAGCATGGACAGTAGAAGGAACAGCATGGACGAAGCCACAGAGGTGTACAGCGTCCCCCCAAGAGCGATGGAGACCATGGAGGCCTCGGAACAGAGGACAGCCTCCAGCTGCAGGTGGAGGGCGGCTGGTAGGGGCGAGCCTGGGAGAGGAAGGTGAGGAGGGGGTCCAGGTGAAGGGCAGAGGCCTGACCAAGGGCAGGGACAGAGCGTGGAGAGTAAGTGTCTTGGGGCTGCTGTAACAAAGCACCACAAACCGGGTGGCTTAAAACAACAGAAATTTATTCTTTCACAGTCTGTAGGCTAGAAGTCTGAGATCAAGACGTCAGCAGGGCCATGTTCCCTCCGAGACTCTGGGTAGACTCCGTCATCGCCTCTTCCCAGCTTCTGGAGGTGGCCGTCGGCTCCTGGCGGTCCTTGAAGTGCAGCTGCGTCACGCGGTTCTCTGCCTGGCTCCACACGGCATTCCACGTCTTATAAGGACACTAGCCATGTTGGATTAGGGCCCACCCTGATGACCACATCTTAACTGGATTACATGTACAAAGACCCTATTTCCAAATAAGGTCAGTCATCGGGAACTGAGGGTTAGGATTTCACATATTTTTTAGGGGATACAAGTCAACCCGTAACAGAGAGGAACAGTGCCTCCACTGACTTTCCCCCCGGGGCAGCCATGACCCACCCTGGCTTTCACATGCCAGGTTTACAGGCGCCTGGGGTCGCGGGTGCCCCCAGCCCCCACCGGCCGGGAATATCAGGAGTGGCCAAGACCAACTTGGCACCATGGCGCCCTCTGCTGCTCAGATGTAGCAAGAGCAATCTGGCTCCCGCAGGCTACAAGCTTGGAGACCACATACATTTTCAGCAGTGGAAGAGACCTCAGCCCTGAGGCTGAGGTGGCCAACTGGAATGGCGCTGAAGGTCTGGAGGCCACGAGCATCATCCTGGGCATCTGACTGACCTGGGTTTGCATCCCGTCTCTATGGCTGCCTGGCTGGGTGACCCTGGGCTGGTTGCTCAGCCTCTCTGTGTCTGGGTCGCCTCCTCAAGGGAGCAAAGGGAATTGTGCACGTCCCACATGGCACAGAGCTGAGCAACAGAGTGGTTGTTCAGTATCTAGCAACTACTTATTAGTAAAATATTAATTATGTTAATAAATGAGTCAATAACTACAACGCTCTTAAAACAAACCAGGCCGATCGTAAATGCTAATAAGATAATTTATATTCTTGGCATCTACTATCTGCCAGATTTGTTCTCCTTGGATCCCTAAGGGCCTAGAAGTACCAATATTAATAATAATAAATAATGTAATAATATATAATATTACTATTGGCATTTCTAGGCCCTTAAGTGTCCAAGGAAATATACTTATGGGGTTCCACAAACCCCGGACATTATCATATTGCACTAAGTCATGTGTATCTTTGATTAATAAAAGGAGGGCGGATTATCTTATGAATTTGAGGTCAGTAACATCTTTTCCTGTGAATAGTCAGCTATTGTCAGTTTTATTTAATTATTTATTTTTGCCTAGTTCTCTCCACATGAATTAAATAAAGGCTTCAAGGGTGTGCCTATTTCTTGCTTCAAAGAACATTATGAGGGTGTAGGCAGCGGCTCCAGGCGGCTGGCGGGGTCAAACCTCTCCCAGCCTGATCAACCTTTCTGGTTGCCAGGGACGGAGGAGTTTCCTGGGATGTGGGAACCTTCAGAGCTAAAACCAGGACAGTCCCAGGAAGCTGAGACAGTTGGTCACCCTAACCCCTTTCCACTCTGCTTGGACAAGAAGCTCATTCCCAGGAGGAAGATTGACTCAAGTCCAGTAAGGGTTAAATGCTGACTGATCAGGCTTTGAATTCTGGCTCTGGTACTAATTAGCTGTGTGACCTTGGGTAGGTCACTTAACCTCTCTGAACTTTAGTTTATAAAGCTGAGATGATGTAGATATTCAGATAAGGTGTGCAAGCACTTGGCTTGGAGCCTGGCACAAACAGGTCTCCAATAAACAATCACTTGGCTGTGGTTTCTGCCTTTCGCGTCTGGCTCCTGGTTACAGACCAGAGTCCTGTGCCCCAGAAAGGTCCCCCATCCCCTGTGGAGGCTGAGGGAGGCAGGTGGTTAGAGCTGCTGCATTCCCATCCTGGTTGGTCATACCCAACCTGCCTTGGTTGCTTGGCCGCCATCTTCCTCCCTGGACATGAGCTCCAGCAGGGCCTCGGCTGACTTG